GGATTCGGCGAATGTGGATATGTGAGAAAGCTTGCCAGTAGCTTCTCGTGGGTCGGTGGTTCTTTCCGGTGATTTTCCGGTTTCTTCCTCCACCATTAATACTGGCCGCTATGAATATATCAAGATATCAATTTTAAAAGAGAGAAACGATAACAGTAACTTGTGTAGAATATATTGAAATCTCTAGTTATTGGAAGACAAAACCTACGAATTTAAAAAGGAATGCTATATTATTGATTTGGATTGTAAGAAAAGCATGGCCCACTCAATAATTCATATCCTGAATATAATAGGACATTGAAGTGAATTCAGATTAAACATTATTCCTGTTTCCACAGCTTCACTTGGTAATGGAAAAAAACCCTGCTTTAATTAATTAATAAGCCGGTTCAATAGTTCACCATCGAATAGAAGCAATGAACAACGTTACTGTCGCACAATTCAATCAATAAACCTGTATTAATTGCGTTGTGATGCTGGGAACAAAGTAATTGATAATCAAGGAAATTAGTTTGAGTATTAAAAGTTCGGAATGTGAATGACCACTTACAATTACGGAGGTTATAGACAAATGTATGATTCGAAGGTCGTTCACTTAGGAAAAATACTGACCACGCATACACACACTTTCTCTCTAAAGCTTGATATAAGGTTAAAGCTGTCCTTGACTATCACGCAAGAAACTTGCGTGACGTTTTAGATTCATTAGACAGACCTCTCTGACCTTGAATGAAAATACTGATGATCAAGCAGCTTCCAGAATATAAAAATATAAAAAAGGCTTTGAGCTGCTTTGGTCTCAGTGCAATTCCAAACTCAGAATAGTGTCGTGTCTATTTCTTACAGGTAAGAAAATTATGCTTTATACTCGCTCTTAAAAGTTAAAGATTCTATAGTAAGTTGTAATATCCTTCTGAATTATTTTTATTTCATCAATATAATGTAATAGTGAGTTCTCTTTTCTACTATGAAATAATTTACTGATCTAATAATTTACTGAATTGGTGTCCATTATATTTATAATATAATATTATTGAATTTCCTTCTTCCACTATCATAATGTAATGAAATATTTTACAGCTTCGATGTTCATTAGTATTTGTTTGAAATAATTACTAGCTTCATGTTATAATCTAATTGAGAATAAATATATATCCTTTAAATAATAGGTATAACACTCACAGATCTTTTTCAGGTCGTTACCTTACATTAAATAAAATAAAATACATTTATTACAGTTATTGAATTTTAGGCTCTTTGAATATTTAAATCACTTGTATTCAAAAATGCAGAAAAATGAATGGGCAAATGAAATAGTAGATTGTGGAAGAACTATTTAATAAGTATTGTAATATGTATTGTATGTAGTTTCAACATAAATAAATTTACATGTTGTATTTTTAGAATATATATATATATATATATATATATATATATATATATATATATATATATATATATATATATATATATATAAAGTGCGATTCCAAGCTCAGAAGAGTGTCGTGTCTATTTCTTACAGATTATTGGTACCTTTTCGTAGCCAAAGCTTCCCCACAAAAAGATTTAACCGTATCTACACCATCATAAGTGACACCTTATTCTTATGAATGCTGAACTTTCTTCCTTCTCGTAACTAGAGACGAGAAGAAGGTTATTATAGAAAACATCTAAACAACAAAACAGAGTTTTCTCATCATAATAAATATCCTATCTTGTGCTGAAAAATGGCGTTAAGCCCAACAACAACAACAACAATCCAATCGTGCGTGAGATTTCAATATGTAGTATAGTTATGAAGTGTTACCCATTCGTGAGGACGAGTACTCTGGTTCAGAGGCTAATTAATTATTCTTCCGAGTGCTGATATATAAATAATCGTTACGCAAGTGTCCGCTGACATCGTTCCACAATAGTTTGGCAACCGGTATCTTAACATGTCCAACACGAACCTGTGCTGTATGGTTTGCGAACAACATGTTAACATATTTGAAAAGTTATTTACCTAATCGACGTGAAATAATTTTAGCCGTTGTTACGACTCAATGGCCATAAACTAAACAGCAACATGAAGGAAAACCACCAAGCTTTGTAAAACTTAACTAGCAATTTAATTATCAAAAATCTTATAAAATTCAGACTTTAGAGGACTTTCTAGTTTTATAAACTGAATCCAAACTAATCCTGAAAACTTATGCTCAAGTACAAAATAATGTTCCGAATAAATTTATGATTCTAGAATGTACTGATCTGCCAAAAGTCATGACGTATCACTATGACATTGTCCAGAACCCCTTGAATAATTTACAAAAGTCCAAGAATAATATTTTTGTCCAATTAGCACTTTGTAATACCAATGAATTATCCAAACAAATGTCTCCTTTCAGATTATCTGAACACAACATTAAATATATATGCAGACTTAACATTAACACAAGAACATATGAAATAAGAAATCAATTGCTCAGTTCTTTTCTCATATACAAAAAGAGTCCTAAAACGCAGATGTCTCCTACCCAATACGTGACATTTTGCAAATACCCCACATCGTAAAAGATCTTACCGACCAATCCAATGAGAAATAACTTACTTGTTCTAAGAACTCACCTGTTCGACGTATCCAGCCGGAAACGACCCCAACGTAGTAAACAGGTTTACAATTAATAATATTATTAATGATCGTAAAAACATACGGAAACAATTATAGACGGGACATTATGCATCCGGTCAGCACCATTGATATCTTAAAATTTATACCCGTGCACACAAATTGGCTATGTAATATTTTATTATAGATAAATCTTACAATTTATAATGAACAATTAAAAAAAACATATACGTAACGCTACGTTAACGATCCGTGTGCATAACTGTGTTTAAGCGCATCAGCGACACTTCCTGAATCTTAAGACGTTAATGGTTAAGTTTCGTTGTATCTGCCTGAAGCATATACAACGGTCAATGCATACTGGTATGTGCATCCGCCTACAGAATCACGTGGAAGATATAACAGACGAACCTTATGAACCGCGTCTTGTGTGTTGACATAAAGCAAATTTGTGTATTTCTTCTTGGCATTGATTGGTACGTAAATTTGCCACCAATGTTTGTTTAGCCAACTATGTTCTAGCAGCATCCATGGGTCATCTTTATTATGGTCGCTAATTTTTTAACGGCTGCCTCGGCTTTACGGCAACTGAGATGAATATAATATATTTTGTATAAAGTCACCTAAAAACATGTTTGTTTGTATCAGTTTTTTATATCCCTCCAATGAATAGACTTTAGTCTACGGGACCACCTAAAACAATTGTCGCCTTCATACCTCTAATGATTCTTCTAGAGAAATAGTTCTAGTGTAGGATTAATCACATCCAAAGCTCTTTGTTTTTCTCCTTTTTTTGTTGTTGTTGTTATTGTTGTTGTTGTGGGAATTAACACCACTCTCAGATCAGGATAGGCTATACATCGTGGCCAGTATATTTGGTGGAGTATTAGATCCAGCAAAAGACCCAGGGGGAAAAAAAACCCAGATCCACGGAATGCTTCTGACAAGCTTTCTCAGATACACCCTTTTGTCGAGCCGAGACTGGAAATCACGAGTGACAAAGGTTAGATGTTTTGAGTAATATGTAAAGGCGATTATTCAACCCCACCCCCCCTCTAAATAGCGTGATACAATTCAACAGCAATGTTAATGACTAATTGTGTATCCTTGTTGAGACAAAAACACTTTTAGTGTTTAGGCCTTTTCCACCTGTGCCATTAAGCAAAATTCTGCCATTACACCGTATACACACTTACACATACTTAAACAGTCAACCTGTTTATTTAGTCAGGTGGCATGTATAAAACTCCCCTGCCAGTGGCTGTGCGAGATTGGGAGGGTGGAGGGAGGCAATTGCCTGCGGCGCCATATGGAACTTCTTTTTTTCATCTAAAAGTTTCAAAGTATTTTACGTTCACATAAATGTAACGTGGAAAGTTCTTCGCAAAACAATGAGGGGGCAATGGAGGTTGGCAAAGGACATAACAAATATTAGCTGTAGCAAAGTTTAGATCGCCATTAAAGAACAATGCCCAAAAGCGCCTAGATCCCATGCGCTGTCACTATCCCTAGTTTAAATCGAATCACGATCTTGCATGTCTCTTCTTTGGCATAATTTCCATTTTGAGATAGGGTAAATTGCTTATAGTTTTATTCTCTTTAAAATTACAAATGGACACTGCATATAGATAGGCTGTGACGTATGCGTTACAGTGAAATTATTATCTGTTAAACATTAATGACTGAAACAAATGGAAAAATTGAGATACTAAAACAATGGTATCATAGGAAGGTGCTGCGGGAAATGGACACAATGAACAAGACTCATTTGCGAGATAACAAATTATTTGATTTCTTTGTTCAAAATTTACCCTGGTGAAGTCATCGTACATAGAGATGAAATTAGGTTATGACCCTTGTCAAAATTTCCAAGTTGCTAGGCGGACATGGTAATGAAAGAAATTTCATGTCTCTGTCTGAAAGTGCATTTTAGTGAAGAACAGTGGAAGAAGAATTTCATCAATGATTTATAACTTGAAGATAAAACATTCACTGTTAGATGAGCGGCCTCTGTAACACATTACATTCCTGAACCTTGTGTCTGTGTGTGTTTGTGTGTTTGTGTGTGTGTGTGTGATTTTAATTTATGACGCAGCTTTAAAAAAAATTCAGTCACATCGCTGAACCTTGTGTGTGTGTGTGTGTGTGTGTGTGTGTGTGATTTGGATTTTTAACGCAGATTTAACAATTTTTCAGTCACATCGCTACGGTGTCTGCAGAATGGCAGTTTATAGTGATGTCTAGCACTGGGGCATCATGCCGCAGACATGTAGCATGATGTCCCACCCAGTCACATTATCCTGACACCAGACCAACCAATCCTAACACTAACCTCTTAATGCTGAGGGCTAAGCGAGGCAGCTGTTAATATCATTTTGATAAGTCATTGGTATGACTCAGCCGGGGATCGAACCCACGACCTTCCGCATCCGAGGCAAACGCTCTAACCACTAGGTCACCAGACCGGTCATGTGTATGTATATATGTATGTACAGAAGTGAGAGAACGCAACAAAGAAGTCAGGAACGTTTGTTACTCAAGTGCAGGGGACAATGGCGAGCACAGAGAAAGAGAACGCACAAAAAGGAAGCAAACGCACCGTTCACACACACACACACACACACACACACACACACACACACACAAGAAAGATAAAGGCAAACTATGGTACGGTAACGATATTACAACTTCCAGCGTTCAGAAAAGACGACACACCTTATTGTGTGTGCATTGGTGTCAGTGCCTATATAGAAGATTTAAGGACCGAAAAGGAGGTTTTGTCCGGGAAATGGAGCATGTATGTCAAACAAAAAGAAGGGTAACGTCCTTAAATGACAGTATTTTTTTTTATATAGGAAACCAAACTTAAAAAGTTCAAAACTTTCTCAGCATGAAGATTATCATAGGATGCTTTCCAGGGGGAAAAAGGTACCGCCACTAATAATTAGGACACGCAGGACGGAGGCTCTACATCCCAGACCCTAGAGAGGAAAGCTAGTAAGATATCGAACAGAAGCAAAAGTAGCCATGAAGTATACACGTCACCTTGACGATAGAATCCAAAACGTGGAATGTATCACATCTTTAAAAGACAATATACAATGTATGATGACCTTGAAAGTAGGAGCACAAATGCAGTACGTTACAAATATATAAAGTATAATATCGTAATCTCAAATGGTCCCAGCCAATGAAAAAGAAAAATGGACGTAAAAAAAATATGGTCCAATTACATTTCTTTGAAGACAAGACCCTCAATGTGATGACGTTAATGCTAATGATTTTGCTCAAGTATATCGATGTTTACAACTCTCTTCGCTTCAAATATATCTTACGGAAAGAAAAATGTGATGGAAAACAAAATATTTACCTGTGAATTTGACCTTGAAGGTAGACCCACCAATACACTATATAACACGCCTTAAACGATAATATGCAATGCAAGCATATATATTTTTTTTACATCTCTTACCAGCTCCTAATGGAATGGAAAGCGGAACAGAAAACGTAAAATATTAAGTTGTTGCCTTGAATTCAACGAGATGATATATATTGTGCAAGGCAGCACACTCTGTAATTAGGATAAAATGTAATTCCCTTATCTGAAATGGCTTGAAAGTTATTGAGCAGAAAGAAATGTGTGATGAAAATATAACATAAACAATTGTGATATTGACCTTAAAGAAAGCTGGGGGACAATGAATAACAGATGAGAATTGTGCGTCATCGTTGCAAAATCTTCCCAGGAATTTTTAAAGCAGAATTTCAGAGCAGGAGGTGAAAAAAGAATTTTGTATTTGGCTACGGATGATGCTAGTTGGTCTTCTCTCTCTGAATCAAACTTCAACATATTTGGTTTAAAAATGCCCACAAATTTTTAAATGTGTCTAAATAATTGTTACTCGCCAGGCTTAATGTTTTCAGCTGAAACTTGTAGTAGATGTCCCTGATCAGTGTAAAACAAGTGTTGTGTCTATAATGCCTACTCCAGCTCTAAATATTTCGCATATTTTTTATATCGTTTCTTCCCTCATGACTGTCATATCTTATATTTTATACATGTACAGCAATTTATGAACTGACCTATGTTAATGGCCTTGCCAACCTTACATTTAGGTGTGGGTGTGGGGGAATCAAAGTGTTTTGTAGTCTCAGTAGGGAAAAGTGCATGACCCGAAAAAGCTACGTTACATGGTGTATAAGATGTCTGCAAATGTAAGCCATTTAGGAAAATTATGGGCAATGCAAACTTTGAATGAAAGAAACTAAAATATTTTGTCATAATTATTTTAATTAACTTTCAAACAGAAAATAGTTGGTTCACATAGCATTATCAAATATCACCTAAACACACAAACACAAGGATACACAGTCACATCCACACTAATATCAAATTAAAATATACCACGTTACTGTCTTTAAAAAGCACACTGGACAGTGGAACGTGCTCTTAACAAGATGCGTTTTACTCTAAACAGTTCATTGGGAGATTTAAAGGTGATGCAAATGTCATTATAACTAAGGGGTCGGCAATCTATAGCACGCGTGTATATAAAGAGCAGTCAAAAATCTTGACTTAAACAGTGTAGTGTTACTCTCTTACTTGTGGCACAGGCTCATTAATTTTGTAATTATTTCGGGGAAAAAAGTGGCACGCTATGTAAAATAGGTTGCCGACCCCTGTTATAGTTAACCTTTGCACTCTTCAGAGACTGGATGGTGATGCAGTTCAAAATATCATTGAATTTTTTTTCTCATTAAGATATACAGTTGTCAATGATTTTTGATTGTGCAACTTTGTGCAAAATTTTCAGGCAGGAAATGAGGAGTGCTGCAAATGAAATTGAGAGAGATAAATGCATAAAGCAAGAAACCAAATCATGTTCAAAATAATACTAAGTTTGTTTAAGGTTACATTTACATAAAAATGGTAAAAAAAAATTAACCTAACTGTAATTGTTAAAATTAAAAGGGAAAAAAAGCAAAGAAGAAAAACCCAAAAACATAAAACAAATTACATTTATTCTTGGAACATTCTTTGATGTTAGGCAAGACATTCAATTATACAACCCCAAATTATGTACATATGGGTGATCCATCCAGCAATGAAATGCACATTAACAATGTACATGGTAAATAAAAATAAAAATAAAATCCTCACTTCAATCAAACTGCCTTTCAGCTGATTTATGTAATGGAAACTAATGTGCAAAATAAATGTGCCTTGTGATTTCTATGGGCAGCATAATGCCCCTAGAAGCGTGAGACCCTGGGCAACTGCCCAGAGTGGCCATGCCTTGAGACGGCACTGATGCCAGTAACAAACCACAACCAGGCCACATTCAACCACAGTTAATCATTCTTCATCCATCCGTAAGTTTTGAAACAACACTGCATGTTTTGAACCATATTGTCCTATTAAATTACAACTGAAATGAAAACTTTCCAGGATTATTGTCAAAATTAGTATGGGCCATGCAGGATTCTATACATAACTGCAACCTGACGTTTATACTAAAAAGAATGGTTCATTACATAGCAAAAACTTGATGCATATACCAAATAACAGTTGAAATGCCAAAGCTACTTTCTTCTAAGGCTAAATTTGTAACCAACTCAATTTCCATTTAAAACATCCATGAACAGAGCTGCTTAAATTTCATGCTAAAAAATGCCAACTAGAAATTAAAGACCAGCATCTGCCATCTGATAGAGGTAAGATTTCATGTCAGGAAAGCTCAAATGCAGGAGAAAAATTACACACACACACACACACACAAACACACTAAAGGAATGTCCTGTTAAAAGAGTAACCTTGAAACTTATCAGTTCTTTTGTGTATGTCATTCATGCACATTAAGTTAATTGGGCCAGTTAAAGAAGGGAGAAAACTCTTCACATGTACTTAATGGTGTATCATTACAGACGTTTTCTCTGTGCACTTTGAAGACCATACTATTTAAAATCATCAACCTAACAATGAATATATTTCTATTGCAGTGTCAAAATTACTCCCATCTCAAGAACTATTTATCAAGCAGAGTTCATGATTCATTCAACATTAGTAATGTCTTGTTATCTATGCTTTTGTTTGCTGATGATATTGTTTTTTTTCTGAATCTCCTAAACAATGGTAGTGGCTCTGAATATGTTTCTGTATTACAAGACTTGAGATTGATCTATTATTCTCAGTAAAATGGAAATTGTCTCAATTTATTATTTTTCATGAAAGTAGAACACTTAGATTTTACAGTTGCTATGAGCCATGAATTTAAGCAATGTCCTTCGGTAGAAACAACAGAATACCTTGTTGAATCCACGAATATAAGTACCAATGAAAATCCTTCTTTTGATACAATCACATAAATACTCATGAAAATATATGAATTTTTAGTATACATAAAATTACAAATATAGTAGTTTTTAGGTACATAGATCAACATATAAAAGTTGAGATTGGTGATCTCAGGATCACTTTCAACCACTGGAGTTCTTTCAGAGCTATACCTTAACTTGCTGAACAGGATAAAAAGGCAACATTTTCAGTAATTGGCAAATCTAGAAAATTAATGTAATCATTAGATATTAAAAATAAATTATTTTGTTTGTTGCATCCAGTCCATTATACAGCTAGGAGGTTGTGAATTGCACTTTGCTGAATCATATAATCCTAAATTTTCTAACTCCATCCTAAAAGCTCAAAGTTTCAACCCCAACTGGTGAACTTTGAAGATCTCCATTTGATATTTACATCACAACTGTTTGTGGAAAAAAAGATAAGCTTTCCCACATTGGATAAAGTACAGTATCCACATGGACTCATTATTATCTTTTCATGTTGGTTCAACTGTATTAAAACCACTCTTTAAAACTGTAAATAGACTGAATTTAGAGTTAATAAAGACAAGTTCTGACTTGAGATACCTTAGCTAAAAGTTAAACAGATTCTAAATTAACAATATATCCAAAATGGAGAACAATATCAATAGCTTCAGTAAATGTTTAAAATAATTTTTTGGGGTAAATATCATTAAACCTATCAATTGTGGCATATCTAGGTAGATTTTAATGAATAAAATCGCAGACAACCTATAAAACAGTTATTTCTTCAACACAGAGCTAACAGAAAATATTTCTGGTGTAACTTGGATGTTGGTAATGTATTCCTTTATGTTTGTAAAATACTAGTCTGCATATATTAGAAACATTTACATTTGCAACACATAAACACATACATTAGAAATCCTAACACATTAAAAAAAAAGAAGAGATCTGAGCTCTGAAGATTGATATATACTTACTGAACTATCAATATTTGATTAAAAAAAACTTGTTATACATCATATGACCAAACATGCAGATACACTGAGAGAGAGTTTTTCTAAACTTACCAAACTATCCATGATTTATAAAATTACTCTACACCTGGACCATATAGGCGTATAGAAAATATACATCTTTTTTT